CCTGATAGATAGATAGATAGATAGATAGATAGATAGATAGATAGATAGATAGATAGATAGATAGATAGATCGATCTAATCTTTAGTTTATTTGATCCATAACAGAACACTTCAAAACAGAACCCTAATCAATGCAGTTCGAGTAAGCAGACAATGAAGCTAATACCCTTGTTCTTAAAAATGAGATAAAATTAGATTAAATTAGATTAAAGTTTAATGGTTTTGTATTGGGTGGAAAACTTATGGGGTGATTTTGAACCAGGCAAAATGAATAGAAGGAGAAAAAAATGAAAAAGAGAAACAGGTCTGAGGTTAGGGGGGTGCTGTTGATGTGGTACCGTTTCTTTGGGGGGGTTTTTTTTACATCTTTTGTTTCGTTATTTCTTTTGCTGAGTCGGCATTTCGCTTTGTTTTGTTTTTGTTTGTTTTTTGTTGGTTGGCTTACAGTTTAGTTTTGTTTGTGTATTGTTGTTGTTGTTGTTGTTTTTTTTTGGGGGGGGGATGCTGAGTTCCGTCACTTTTTAGTTGCACTAGTAAATAAAACATCCTGTTCCGATCAAAAACAGCTACGCTAACCTCACACTCCAATTTTGTTTGACGTCGGAGAAGAGAACATCATAGAGACTATGTGCTGTGATTTCCACCAGCTGCCTGATAATTCGACGCCCGGCGCATCAGTACCTTTGTCAAACAATGAATGCACGTGCGGAGCAGGTTGAGTTCAGATCTTGCTGTCTGTTGTGTGATTTGCACTTTTGGGTGAGGGAGACATGTTTTTTGTGGGTGTTTTGCATCTCTATCTACACAATTTACATCATTTGGGAGGGGGTGGGGCTTCGAACATGCCTGTCAGTGCCACCCCGGGCTGAGAGGATACAATGTTCCGACAGAATGACGGAGAAACTCAATAAGAATGGAGATGTAGGACGTTTGAAAGTAGATAATTGGTTCAAGTCCATGGCCCACTGCAGTGATAGATCGAAAAGTTTTTAGCCTTTGTTCTCACAGATTAGATAGGTTTGTGTGTGTGGGGGTCGGAACTAGTGGGCTTCTTGGACCCGCCTTGTCAAGTGCAAATACCCTCGCTGCGCATTATCGGTCAACTGGTCGAGATCACAGTGCTGTTTAGTTTTAGTGCGAGATTTACAGCACCATGAACACAAAAAGCTATAAAAAGTGCCATTAGAGGATCTACAAGAGTGTAACAAACATAAAAAAGAAAAAGAATTCGGGACGAGAGATAGCTGACAGGAAAGAAGGAGCAAACCACACTAAAGCAAACACCAACCACTCGCAGTCCCAGAGCATGGTTTCTACAATGTTCCCTGGGTGGATGGGATACAGTATCTCTGCATAAGGACGAGGATACCCGATTATAAAAAGAAGCCCGCATACGCGAATGGAATACACATATTCATGCAGCGCTGGAGAACCTAACCACTGGACTACAGACGACTGTTTATAAAAAACGAGTGAAATTAGAGTTATCAATTAATGATAGCCACATTCATGAAATTCATTTTTGTCGCCAGTACTTGCACATTGGATAATGTCTGCTGACCGATAGCTATGGTGTAATGGTTATGCTTCTCACAGTTGAATGCTAAAGACTTGAGTACGTTTCCCTCTTGGGTATCCCTGTGTTTTTGCAAAGATGAAGTATCTCACTCAGCCCAGGTTGGTCCTATCGAATTATCTATCTATCTATCTATCTATCTATCTATCTATCTATCTATCTATCTATCTATCTACCGACCTTCCCCTGTCCATTTATTTTTGTCGCGTGTCAGAAGAGGTATGTAAACATGCAGCCATCTGGCTCCCTCCCCCCTCCCTCTCTCCCTCCCTCTCTCTCTCTCTCTCTCTCTCTCTCTCTCTCTCTCGCTCTCTCTCTCCCTCACACGATTTTCGCCAGGATCAGCGGTCTAGATCTTCCCACAGAAATGGTATAGCAGACTGCCTGATGCACATGAAAACAACGACACTCCGACCTCACAATAGACCGTGCAGTACTACTATTCTGTTGGCTGATTCCCTCGCCACGCCTTAGTGTATTTTTGACATACATATACAAAGACAGACATTCTTCGTCTTGCACGGGGCTTCTGGTGAGCGACAGATTGGTCAACATTCCTGGACAGGTTATCCTTTCGGACTGGGTGGGGTCAAGGCGGCGTTAGAGCCTTCGGAAGAGGGGTACACAATATGGAAGCTTGTCAGTCAAAGCATTTCTGCACCCACAAAAATTTCCCCTGACTTGTGCAAGCATGGCGGCCGGCGCTCAGTTATTGTTTGTTTTGTTTAAGAAGAATTTGCCAGTGCTTGCAACTGCATAAGGTCAAATGATTCCTTCTTTCCGACTAAACATCTTACAAAAACTAACAATAAGTCCGGTAGAGTCGGTGCAGTTATATGCCAGTTTAGCCTTGCTCTGTGTGACCTGCCCAAAACTAATGACTACATTGGCTTTTCCCCTTGAC